TAATACAATTATATATATATGTATATATATATATATATATAACTAAACGAACTTTATGGTTGTACGGCAGTGAAGCATCAGTGCCAACACTGATGTTGCTGTCATTGATGATGATGATGATGATGATGATGATACACAAGGCATCGCGTCACGGAAGGTACGTCAATTATATACTTTCAATGAATGTTATAGCCAAACAGCATTGCAACACACAATCGTAGGCTGCCGAAAGTAACCGATACCAACAACAAGGGAAGTGCACCGCAACATGTCACAATAGTTTTGTTGCGTTTAAGACCATCTGCCCGACTTCCGCAACGATATCAAACTAGGTGGGAAACCCTGATTTATGTCACGAAATCAATCGCTACAATTGGATAACGTGGATATACAGGGGTGTCCTTCAAGAATAGCTCAAAGAAAGCCGGGAGTATTGATGTTCAGAGAAAGCACACATAGGAAGTTTTCATCGCCCGGGTCAGTCGTACCCCATATCCAACTGACCGTTCTAAAAAAATGCAACCTCAGAGAGAAATCAGCAACTTATACAAAATAACCCCTTGAGCTTATATAAAATAATTAGGAAAAAATTCTCAACACTCGATACAAGATCCAATCTGCAGCACCTGAAAACACCTGCTTCATCTTTCCCTTAACCTGTCTCGTAATTTCGTAAGGCAGAGCTGCCAATATAAAGCACACTAATCAAAGGTCCAATACATGAGGACTTAGCATGTCTGTTTTTGGTTTGAAGGACGGTTGATAAAATCAGTATAAAACTTGACAAGTCGTGCAAACTTCTGTGAGGAAGTAGAAATGCCATTGCAAGTCGTCAAAAGTGCTTAGGCTCGTGCAGCTTACTACAGAAATCGATGGTCACTTTAAAACGGTTTACATAAAGTTTACATGAAGTCGTTTTTGCCTACTTTTTAGAAGTTCGCGGACGGAAAACACATGAAAATACTGTTGCTGGAGCTCGCTGCATCTAGTTCACTGTACAACCCACAAAAGTATTTTGACATGCGAACTTTTGTGGATTTTATAGAACATTTTTCGTGCTACATAGATGTACAAAAGTGCTGTTGCTTCTAATTAAGTTCGGATGGGATACAAATACTTTGTTTTCGAAAAGACAAGTGTTGAACCGTTAAATTAGAAAGATCACAAACACACGACAGCAAACGATTGTAATGGTGCATAGAGATTCCCCAAACACTGAATGCTGAAGAGCCTAAAAACCGATGGGGAGCGTTGGTGGACAGAGGTACACCGAAAGGGAAAAGCCTTTTCAACCAGGAGCAGCCACTACCTATTGCAGTTAACCCGATCAATAAGCCCAAGAGAGGCGGGTGCCCGTTAGGAAGGGAATGGTACATCCTCAGTCACGAGCTAGACACTTCGAATAACTTAGTTCAGTTATAGGAAAACGTCTCCATTGAAGTATTTCAACGACCATAGCTTTACTTTACGACAAATGCTGGAACTAAACCAATCTTTCTGGCTACCAACGAGAACATTTTTCTTCATCTGATGACTGCCTCCGACTCTGTTGATCTTGAGAAAATATAACCACGTCAGCCAATGGAGGTTGCTACTTCTAAATTCCTTCATAAATGTCCGATATACACTCTTCCGTGAACCCATAGATGTCTATGGCAGACACCCTTTAGAGTTCACCATATCCTCGGGTGAGTAGGAGTGGCCTCTATCGCCTCTACTTTTCAAAGTTGTGATCGATATGTTTAATCGGTATTTAGTCGTTTTAATCGGGAATATAAATACTCGCGGGAACTTCATTCACGGACACTGAGTAGATTAGAGACATTGTTGTTCTTGCGTCAGATCTTTTAGAAATGCAAACTACTTTAAATGTCATATCTAATTCTGTTGCATGGTTCCAGGTGCGCTCCGCACACATATAAAGTAAGGCAATACTTAAAGATTGGGTGAGGAAAGACCCCGACTTCATTCTTGCAAAGGAACAAACCGATGTGGTGGATAAGTCCGTCTATCTGACTAGCTGCATAGGCCCCGGCAGACTAGCGAACGAAGTCAATTCTCGAACTCAAAAGGTCAGGGTCGCGTTGCTGACCTCTGACACTTGTCGTACCGATGTGACATAATTCTGGCAGCTACCGAGGGAGTATACACTGCTGTTCCAACCTGTCCCCTTTTATGGGTCAGAGACGTAGCCACCGTACATACACTTCCGACGGCTGTGATCGATCACTATTGCCTCTAAAATAATGAGGAATCTAGTGAACATCAGATCAGCAATGCGGGGGTACGCCAGATGGTTGCCAGAAAGAGTAATTCTTCATCGACAGGTCGGCTCATCAAACTCTATAGGTTACGCGAGCAAGGACATATACCGAGTACAACACTCTTCACCAAGCCATGTATCGGGTGACTACTCGGTCGGTCAGTCCATGACTTGGCAACGAAGTATGAAAGTATCCACCAGTCAACTCAGTCGTGCTGTCTCTCTGAATGGGAATCTAGAGATAAAACAAGTCAACCGCTGGTGACCTTGATAAATATAGCTATATCGCGCAGCTAAAGACGAGCCTGTGTGGATGCCACTTCTCTAACTCCATAGCTCTTCCACTTTCTATGATACCAGACAAACAGATCAACTGAATGTCAGTTAACAGACTGGGCTAGCGCCTTCGACGCGTGCCTCTAATCAGTGTATCCCTATTCTCATCACTGAAAGAAACTGTATCAGTTGAAACCGCTGTACTTAGGTACACGGTCTATAGACAAAAACGCGAACTGGATGGGCTCGAGCAGGGCGAAATGTTAACGCGTCCCATGCATTTGTGTGGTACATAAAGTAAACATACTCTGATTCATTGCAGTGAACTGCTGGTAAGGAGTGCAACCTCGATGAATATCACGTACTGCAGGCGCCTATTCTCGAGTATATGAAGATGCTGTAAGAACACCTGTCATTTGGGGAGATCTAGGGGCGAAACACAAGTTTTGCCAATGGCAGTCATACCAATAGCTGTTGTCTCCTCATATAGTTACCTATAGACTAGATGCACCAGTTGTTAAAGATTATAAAAGTGACCAGGTGGAATACCCAAATGTTATTCTATTCGAGTTGTTGCCACTAGAGCATAGGTTCCTATTCTTGTAGAGCATTGCGCCGACAACAGGACATGACAAAAGCCATCATGACTGGCAAATACGTAAGCGTGTTGGGCTGTTGCTTTCAAAACTTAGTTGTCTCCACTAAACAAGACAAAGATAGCTGGAACCAAGTAATGCTCGTGCTTTGTTTGCAGCGATCGATGGAATTAGGCCAAGTAGAGTGCAGAACTCACCACATTGAAAACGGTCGTCAAGGATCGCGCCAAGTAGTAAAATGATACGTTTAGATGTTTGAGGCACAGATTGTTAAAGCTGACCATCAGTACAAAAACAATCGATAGAGGCAGTACCTGGAAAGATGAAAGGCGAAATCAAAAGACACATACATCCACAGCTGTTTTGAAGGAATAATCCAATCTGGGAAAGCTCACACGGTCCGGCATCTTCTGAGATACAAACATGGCGACATAACACAGCAAGGCTGTAGTAGCACACTGAAAACAGGTAACAAATAACGGAGCATCGGGCTATAGCAGCATAGGGTTAATTGCAAAACTTACTGTGTCTGTCGACTGTTGCAAAAGCCATTTATTGATAAAAACGAGTGAGATAGACACAACCCTGGGGGAATGAAAGCTAATAAAACTGACTTACCAGTAGGCGGCCACAACACGAAAAATGCGAAACGTTTCAGTTGTACAACTCTTGCTCATTGTTCTTTTTCGGATATGATATAGGGATGGAAGGAAAGACTAAAAAGACAGACGACGTTGAACGGATTATCCGATATCAAATGAATTGGTGGCATTAGAATAGTGAAATTGAGGTGATGTGTATTTCAATCATTCGGAAAGGACAGATTGCACGCATTCAACCTTGGTAATATGTTGTCCCGGAATTACCACAGCCATTAGGTTCCGTCTCGAGTCATCATAAAATGAGTCCGAAGGTGATGGATATTCGACGCAAGAACCAAGCACCAAGTTGGCCGCACTGTCAGTGCACCAAAGTTGACCGACAAAACGTCGGCCATCAGTCACGTGCACGGTCAGTAGCTTGTCACATAAATTATCCAGAAACTCTCGAGCTTCAGTTTTTGCTTTGACCGCAGATGACGGTGTTTGATCTGTCATTTCGAGGCAATTTCGGGTACCTAGAAAGCGAATAAAAAGCGTACAGCGTGTTGGTGTATTAAGATCATAAGAAACCTGGCTGCGTCCTGACATCGACAGTGAGATCAACCACTCATCTGGTTTCGGGAAGACGTGTGGACCGTCCTGAAGGACCAGACTTGAGGCTCAGCTTGACTGTCGACGTCAGCAGCATACACTTTACAATTCACAGTTGCGCCGTACCTATCATTCTGATTACCGCATTGTGGAGATCTCCAAAGAGATGGGCACAAAGAAATATACATGGTTTCTGGGACAAAATGTTCACCAGAAAACATCGGTCAATAAAGGGAAGTACCGTCGGTTGCCGATTTTTCAGTTTTTTTCACAGCTACTTGTTTATCACGTTGTGAGCACTTATCCAACTGTCAAATTTCATTCTGAATTGTGCTGTCCAGTGGGGATTTTACAAGTGACCAAGATGAAAAATTGAAACGTCGGGTCATCATCATCATTGAGATCGGCACCAGAGAGCACTTGTGCCCAACAATCGAGATAAAAAATGGGGCAGCAATGACGTGGACGTAGAGATGATCTATCACAAGCATTCGAGGTGATACACCTCTAGCACCCAGTCAGACAATCTGGACAGACAATGATAACATGAAATCTACTGAAATCCGTTAGCAACTATATAGTCTGATGTTTCTAGTAAGCGGAGGGTCACATGGACTCCATTCTGGAAAGCGAACGGCACCAACGACATTCAAACGTTTCGAAATATCCTTCATTCCCTTCTGCCATAACAAATCCTGACCACATCTAGGCTTCCGCCACTCCGAATTAGGCAGGGAGCACAGCTCTCATCTTATCAGACAGCTATCTGTCACGTGGAACCTGGCCCGACCAACTTAGCTTGCAGTGCTAGATGCAACCCTTGAGGGAAGTATTTCCTTCAGCAAAAACACGTCCTTCCAGATCACCTAACTGCACGCACAAAGATACAGTTTTCGGGAATATCTAAACACCTCCCCTTGTGAAAGGTTCGACGTGGGTCGACCTGGATACGTTCCGGCTGGCGGCGGCGTCGGTATGTCCAACTCCTGGGAAGAGGTGCTGCGGTGCTGCATGTCACAGCATGTCATAGCAGATCAGGAGTGGAAGCACGAAACAGGTTTCCACCGGGCACCAAACCAGACGACCCCAAACTCATGACCAAGCCGATTGTGGTCATATCCCCCTGTGCTCCCGAAAGCAGGCCAACGAAACCAGCTGCGTCTCCGGACAGCAGTTTTTATTCGACCACCACAAAGTCACAGCCTCTAAACTGGACTGAGTCAGATGTGCGGGGACAAGAAGCGAAGCCAATCTCCAGCTCCACTCCGTCAAAAGCGGCCTCTCTGCCTGTGGACACAACCTTCGCCCAGGACTCCGACAACCAAAGCCATAAACATGACTACAGCCATCCGGAAAATCCCTCGTACATCCAGTTGGCCACGCTGATCGCTGGCGGATCGAGTGTCCACACAAACACGAAAGAAGAGCGACTGCAGCCAAACAAGCCACATAAAACTCGCCAGATTAGAAAACTGCTGGCTGGCTTCAAGGTGCAGTCCTCCGCAAAAACGAGCCTCTTGGGAGCGCCACCAAAATCATTACTTCTTCGTGCCACCACCCACCGCTCAGGGCCTCACAGAGACATTTTTCCTGTCAAACCGCGCCAGTACACGCAAGGATCCAGAAAGGCGAAAACTTGCCGCAAATTTCTGATCAACAGCAAATCTGGTCGACGAGAAGGGGACGCTGAAAGTGCTGCAAATAGCATCGGTCGAAATTTTAGCCCACGTGGGAAAAGACCTCGTCCCTCAAAGCCAAAAGCCCCGAGCAAACTGGGCTCCCACGGAACGAAAGAAATCTCGCAAGCGAAAAGCACCCCCAGAAACCACATAGACAGAAAGCAGACGACATCGCTCCAGAGGCCCCTTCGGAGCCTTGGACTCAGACTTGTTAGGAGGCACTCCTAACGAACATATTGCTCAATATTTCTCTCTCTCTATTTCAGCCTTTCATTGGACTGTTTTGTTCCATTCGATTCTTGATTCTTCGAGTCTCGATATTGGCTGTTCAGTTGCTGCAGTATAATTTCCTCAAACAGAATTATGTTCATGGCCTGTCCCAGAAACTCCATGGTCACGAATTCATGTTGATTTTGCGGGACCAATCAACGGCCAACAATATCTCATCCTAGTAGATGCTTATAGCAAATGACCAGAAGTGTTCAGCATGAACCATATTGTTGCTGAGGCTACCATTTCAAAACTATAACATGTGTT